TATATATATATATATATATATGAATGAATTTTTTATTCAAAGTTGAAAACGTGACTTCATTCAAAAGATGGAGGCATGTGGACTGTTTTGACCAATAGGACATGGCAGAAGCAATGCTGTGCTATTTCCAGAACATAGCCCTTAAACTACTTGGCTGCTTCCTGGGTCTTGAGATACCTGTTCTTGGAATATTCTCTCTGCAAACATGACCTTTGTTTTGTAAAAAACCCAAACTGTATGTGGATGCCACATGTAGGCACTCTGGTGGGCAACCTTGACGAGCTCCCATGTGAATAAGCTATTGGATGTCCAGTCCAGTCAAACTTTCAGATGACTGCAGTCCAGATGCCTTCCAACTTTGATTGCATGAGCAATTCCAAACAACCACATAAATGAGCTGAGTTAATCCGTAGAACCATGAGAGATAATAGATTGTAGTTTTAAGCTACATACAGACACACAAATAGATGAAGGCATGTGATGAACTCTTCAAATACCTTTAAAACTTAAAGATATTTTAAAGACTATTTTATCTACTCATGCACAATATTCCAAATATTAGCAGAAAAAAAGGATATTTAAACATTTTCCTAAATGAATTAGAGCAAAATTACTTCTTATAAAAGATAGGTAGCCAGGGTCACAAATATCCTACCCTCCCTTCAGCCCCTGAAAAATTCTCACTGAAATGAGCAAAGGAATCTATATATATAAAAGGCTAATATGCAAAGTGTCCCTTTGGGAGTTCGACCGGGAGAATGGAAATTTGATCGCTCTCTATGACATGTGTTGACCACCAGGGGGTGGTGCAGAACATGGTGGGTGGCCAGTGGCAGTGGTGGCGCAGGGCACTGAGGGAGCAAGGGAAGGAAGAGGCGTGGAGGCGGGGAGGCAGGGAACCTGATTGGCCCTGATCACCGGTTAGGCCTAGGAACCCTACCCATGCACAAATGTAATGCACGGGTCTCTAGTATAAATATAAAGAGGAAATACGGTTTGGTGCTATTAAAAGTGGGGAGGGGGACTGGTTCAATCATTTATATTCCAGAAGCCTTGAGGAATTTGAATAGACTATATTGTAGATGAAGATAGGGACAATTCTATAGGAAGAGCTTGCCTAGGGATTGAAGAGACAAGTCCACTGCAGAGTTGTACTAACACATTAACAGCATAATTTCTAAAATAATCTCATTTAACTCTGAAATCCAACAAGACACACCTTTTCTGTCACCTTATGAAACCAGCATACACAGCAAGACTACCACAAGATCTAGCAGTTCATAATCAGAGGCTATTCAGAAGAAATACTTGCCAATAAAAGAATGACTACAAAAACATCATTCCCAGAAATTAATATTCTCAGTGAGATTTGTTAAATTATTGCATCTGTGTAAGAGAATAATCTTCAATGAGTAAACATCCTTTTCATATAAAATATACAATGTCTGATTTTGATTCTGATAATGGTGAGTAACCCCTAACTGGCCAACCCTCCCACAGACACCTATGACCTCTGGATAAAATATTTTAAAACTTCTACCTAAAGGCACTGGAGAGTGACAAAAAACAGGCAGATTGTGGAGAAGGCTTCAACACTTTAAAAAAGGAATGGGCCCTAGCCGGTTTGACTCAGTGGATAGAGCGTTGACCTGCGGACCGAAGGGTCCCAGGTTTGATTCCAGTCAAGGGCATGTACCTTGGTTGTAGGCTCCTCTCTGGCCTGGGCCCTGAGTCAGGGAGCATGCAGGAGGCAATCAATCACCCTCCAGCCATCCCTCTCCCTTCCCTCTCTCCCCCTTCATTAATGGAAAAATGCCCTCGGGTGAGGATTAAAAAAGCGGGGAGGGGGGGAGGGGGGAATGGCACTGAATGAGAATTAATGGAAAAATGCCCTCGGGTGAGGATTAAAAAAAGGGGGGGGGGTGGCACTGAATGAATTTCTTGTTTTTTAAAAGTCTTTTAGCCTAAAGTCAGGCTCTAACTGATGTCATAATTTTTATAAATGTATAGAAATTAGCAGTCTTACTGGCCAGAGGGATTAGAAGACCATTTGGGGCAATGACAAATAGACAAACAGGGAGACTTAATTCTGGTCATATGACAGTTTGGAAATATTATCAAACTGGACATTTTGAAGTCAGAAATACAGCTGTTGAAGTGGTAGGTGGAAAGTCTGAAGAAAGGGTAGAGGAAAGAATAGGGATTTCTCTCCAAAAAGAGAACAGGTGGCACTCACCTGGGTCACTGAGAAGTAGTTTCCACAAAAGTATGGATGGTGCCAAATCCTAGGTTTAGAAACATTATGGAGAAATGACCACTCCTAGGACTGTAGGGCCAAGGGAGTGGTGACCGGAATGTGGAGTGGATCGCTGTGTTGGAAAGCTGCCTTCTATAGAGGAAGGCAGCCAAGCTGTGGAGGACACAGTGGGAGGCAGAGGAGAAAATGAATATTCCCAATTCCCTCTCTTCCTATCCTCTTATCTCCAGTGGCCAAACCCAAGCTGAAGCCACCAGAGATCAAGGAAACTCATTATTCAATCCACATGAGACAAAAACACAGAGCAGGCCCATCGATGAAATGGGAACACCTAAATAGCATGATAAAATGTATGAAGTGGAAGGGTAAGGTGAGGAGAGAAGTTATCCACAAATTTCCAGACAGAAAAATGTAGATTACTTACAAAGTGAAAAAATTCAAATATTTCATTAGCAACACTAAATGGCATATGGATATTGACCATTATATGTGTAATTTAGAACTAGAAAAATGTTAACCAGTGATTTCATAAACATCCGCACTCTTCTATTTGCAAGGGCAGCATAAAGTCATTCTCAAAGGAGGACTCATGAAGTACATCCCGTTCCCTACCCTTCCAGGACAATGTCCTGGTTGATTAAGATGTTACTGAAAATAAAGTACTATAGAATAATTAAAAGAGGGTGTGGAAAAGTCAAGTAAACAACAACAACAAAATAGTTAAAGTTAATTATTGTTAAAAATTTTGAAAGGAAATAAAATATCACAAAATACTTTAGGGTTAAAAATAAAACTTACAATAATGATTTGCTTAACTTCTATTTTATTATCAAGCTTCTGTAAAATGTTGGACATAGAATAAAAGAGATATAAAGACAAAAACTAATTGGGGTTTATAATATTAATAAAATATACTTCAAGTTAAAAGAAAACCTAAAATAAAAATAATACTTCTAAAAAGTAATCAAAATTATAAACCTCATCTATGGTTTGACAATCATAAATCATTACATTCCAAGTAATTAACATTCAGTATATAAATGCTGATGTTATGAATTTGTAAAAAGCCCCTACAAGTTAATGAGAACATTAACAACAACAGATACTATTAGATTAATGAAGAAAGCAAATGCATAGGCAGTCCACAGAAAAATTATACAAGCTCCACA